CCAGCAGCGGACCCAGAATCGCCCCTTGTGATACACCGGATGATGATGTCCTCCAAGTCGAGCAAACTGTATTGGCCTTTGTGCAGACTTGTCTACCATCTAGATAGTCCTGCAACCATAAAGCACTGGTCTCTTGATGCCCAACCTTTCTATTTTGTGAATAAGAACGGTGCGGAAAATAACATGGACAGGAATTAGGAGGTTCCAGCATGCTGTCCACTTATCACCTGCCGCCAGTGTTTGTGGCACAGGACCTACCCTTTCTGAAACCATGCTGTGCATCACCAAGCGCTCCCCTCTTTTCTAAGTACCCCTGAGATGGTCATCTACCAGACTCTCCATTATGTATGACACCGCTGGTAGGAGGGCTATGGGTTGGTGGCATTTTGGGTTCTGCCTGTCTACACCTTTGGAGATGGGGGACAGAATAGCACTTTTCCACTCTTGTGGAAGCATCTGATTGTCTAAGGAGTGTTGAAACAAGTTACACAGCGGACCGCACAAGACACCCGTGCATCGTTTCAACAGAGCCGGTTGGATGTCATCACACCCCGGTGATTTCCCTGCTCGGAGCTTTGACAGTTTTTCGAGGACCACATCAGGAGTTACCTTTATTCCAGGTAACTCTACTGCGTTTGGTGGTGCTGAATTTCGGTCGGACAGTTGGTAGTTTTGGCTTGATAGGGACATATTGAGTTGCGTGTAGAAAGTGGCGCTAAAGGCTTCGGTGATCTCCAGTCCGGAGAGGTTCTCTCCTCTTAGGCCTTTTAGGACGCAAGCCCCCTGGCTGGTGGATTTTCTGCCTGCCATAAACTGATATAGGTTTTTGGGGTTTGCCTAGAGCTTTTGAGCAAGGTTCGTCTGGAATGACCTCCTGTCTCCTCCTCACACTAATGTTACATCGATTTCTCAGGGCAATATACACGGTGTGGTCAGGCACTTTCCTGGAGGTCCTCCGCTTGTGCCATGCTTTCCTCTTGGCTTTCAAAAGGCGTTCATTGTCTCGCTTCAACCACGAGGTTCGTTTCCGCGGTATTGCTGTGATTGCTGGGACATTTTCAGAGACAGCCCTCTTGATGATATCTCTGACTAGTTCCCAATGTTGGTCAATCGACAGGTCGCTCCACTCCTGAGGCTATGGTGCTGTCGACAGATATTGGTTCATCGCCAAGTAGTTCGCTTTGTTGTACCAAAGACGAGGGCGCGATGCATTCCATGACAGTTGTTCGGAGAGTACCAGATCGAACACTGCCACGCCGTTATCGCTGCTGCCAAGGGGGGCTTGAGCTTGTATATTTCCTACCGTCAGTGGGTCACTGGTAAAAAGGTAGTCCAGTTTGGACGGCTTTCCGCCCTACCCCCAGCGAGTGCTGTCACCAATATTCTCGTGCAGGCCAGCCTTTTGGGTAGTGTTGAGTCGGTTTCGGTCGAACCTTTGGCTTGAGGTTCCTTTGTCCCGCCCAAGATTGAGAGTCGGAGTATTAAAGCCACCGGCCATAATGACCTGATCTCATCCGACGGACGTCGCTCGTGACATCACTCGCAGCAGTTGTCGGTTATCTTCCACGCTGCTGGTAGGTGTTCTGTAGACGCCTCCTACTAGGTACTTGGTGTGTCCAACCTTAAACTGACACCAGATGGAGTCTGGGAGCCCTGAAAGTAGGGTTTCAGTTGCTCGTTCACTTTTAAGGTTATCACTTACAAGCATCGCCACCCCGCCTCCTTCCTTAAACTACCTGTCTCTCCTGAACAGACGCATGCCGTCTATACCAGTTTCGATGTCGCTAATGTCCGGTGATAACCAAGTTTCTGTCAGGATTATGATCGTTGGAGCAAGGCAGGAACAGAGAAATCGTAATTCCCCCACTTTACTTCCAAGCCCCCTCACATTACTGTAAAGACGCTTGGGTATGTTTCTAACGACAAGGGGTATCTCCATGCTGGCAGACTGGAGGGAGTCGTGCGTAATGGCGAAACTTGCTATAGGACGGGCAGGTCCAGTGGAACCGGCCCACCACTTTTTTCCCGCGATGGTCTCTGGGGGTTTCATAGAGTCCAGGCTTCATTGTGCATCTTGTCTGTTGACAGTGATGGTGACTTCTGTGGTGGGCGGTGCTGCCATTTGCTGTTGTCGTAGTGTCCTGGACCTGCTTTCACAGCAGCGAACATTCCCACTGATGTTACCTTTTACTATACACCAAGTTTGCAGCACACTGGTTAAAAGTTCTTGACAGCTGAAGTTAACAGCAATCAGCCGGGGTGCTGTTATCGTCTTCAAGTGCGAGGGATGTGGCAGTCTGTAGACCGCCGCCGCTGCTATTCCATTTAGCCCCATTCTCGTTGACAACCACTGCCATTGCTGGACGTCGTGAGCACACTTTTCTACGACCGTGCCGGCTGTCAGTTCTGGTATGCCGTGGACAACCATAGTTGTTAGTCTCAGCGTTCGGGGTGCCTTGCGAGATACTTTTCTCGCTGACCAAGGGCGGTCTGGTCTGGCTCTAATGCCGGATGACCCGTTGACGACTAGTGTGTGTGGCATCAGCAAGAATCTTTCCGCTTCTTTAGCCGAGCTTAGGGTAACTCTCATTGTCGGAGGCATTCCCTGAGGTGGGTAGTTGCCTTTGTAGAGCCTGCACAGTTTTTCTTCTGGACTACCCAGTCCTAGCGTGGTGAGCACGGTTTCCGATTGCCGCTTGTCAAACGATTCTCTGTTCTCAATGAGACTATTACGGCACACAGGGACGTTAAACAAGATGGTGGAGTTCGACCTGTCGTCAGCTTCTCTATTTTCGTGCGCTGTGGGTGGTTTTTTGTGGGAAGGGTGGACCTTCTTTCCCACTACCACTCATTTTTCTCGTTGCACAGTGGGGTAAGCTTCTAAAGTGACTTCAAGGTTAGGGACGAATGTAGTTGGCCGCGTACCCGGTCATCGTTTTGGTCTTTTTGGACTATTCGCCGGTGTGACTGGCCGGGGTACAGTGCTGACACTCTTGCTGCTTGGGCCTGGGGTAGTGGTCTGTGTGGGTGTCTTTTACGAATTCCATCAGCGAGCCTTTAGAAAAGAGTGGCCTTATACGGCACTGTGGGCAGAAGTACCAGAACCACGTGCATGGTTAGCGCGCCATGAAGGTCTAATATTGGTCTAGTATGTCCTCGTCACACTGACTGTGCACCCGCTTATTGCAGATGTTACACTCAAAAGCAACATCCCTCCTGGCTACGGTGAGACCACATGTATGACAGTCGTCAGCCTGACTAGAAGGTAAAGTTAACGACTTTCTCTTCCGTACCTCAGTGTAGCCTTCACAGGTAGACTAGGGTTTGGGCTGGTGGCACCAGAAAGACATGCTCGTTGATGAACCACAGCACAGGGGTTCACAGGGACGGGAATTCGAATTTTCCCGGGAGGTGGTCGTTGCAACTGTCCTCCTAAGGTCGACCCGTGATCTTTTGCGGCGGCACTAGGGTTTTTGCCTCTGGCCCTCGTTACTACCACCGGTGGGGAGGTTTGTAGCTGGGATGAGGCTTTTCCTGAGATGTTTCTGATACCAGATTTGGTTATGACTCGATTATTACTCATCTCTAGTGGTGACTAGGGAGATAAAAATGAGATACACGGATGGTTATATTAAGTGAAACGCAGAAAAGCATTGATAGATAAAGTAAGTTGTCAACCTTACGTAGGATTGCCAAGTTGTACGACACGGAAGAATGCCTAAAGCTTCCCACAGGTCCAAGGTATATGATCGAATGAGATAAGTAGCGCTGCAGCTGCGGCAACCTGAGCTATAGCAGTTGATCGAGGCAGTTAGACACAGTTGTCCGTTTGGAGAGTGATAGTATTGACCGACTGAGGGCTGTACGTCCTGCAGCAAAACGTTTTTCCAGTGAGATTGTAACTTTCGTATAGGCAATATCCAATTGGGAAGGCTTATATAGAGTTACTTCCGGGTTAAACACAGATGAGACAAAACAAGTCAGTATTCAAAGAGCCCGGTTCCACTAGGAAGGTCTATGTCATCGGACCCAAAACAACAGTCTTGTGGGGACATCATCGGGATACTTCACCAGACGGAAAACACTAGCATTCGACCCAACGGACTCAGCTGAAGATCACAGAGCGTGAGCTCAGTGGACCGCTTGGCAGAAGGAAGTGGCCCAAGCCACTTCGAAACAAGTGTTCACCAGATACGCGAGCGTAAGTGGCCTACGACCAACATATACCAGTAGCGACTGAAAGTATGCTCGTGTATCCATGGCCCAGTGCCTACCTTATGGACTACACCCCTCGCATATTATTTTAAACAATACTTAGTTTCCTTAACTGCTCTCTACCGCCCTTCTCTTGTTCCGTACTTGTCCAATTTCTAGGACTGCCTTGTGAATAGCGCTTGTTACAGACTTACAGTTGCTGATGATGGTGACGGCAAGAATTTTATTTATCTTATGATCAGCTACGCTGTTCCACCAAACAAGCCGGCCTATGAAGTGCAAGATAAAACACTCAGGTAGACAATCACCACAGTTAATGCTGTGAGCAGGTCATCTGAAAGGATTTCTGCGGCCACTGATGGAGTACGACTGAAGGAAACGAACCGAACCCTAAGAACTAGAGGCAAGAATTTAGAATCTACAGTCTTGATTCAATTGCACTATTGAGTTTGAGCGTTTTCGGATGTGCGTGTGAGAGAGAATATGTGACAAGCTTCCGGAAATCATTATTATTCGGAAAATCCTGTTATGTCATGTAAGCATTTAGTGTGCTACTTATGGCAGTGGCACTTGTAAGATCTTTTTATCTTCAGGTTTTGATTAGTTTTGAGCCAAAATCATACTCTATGATCTCAAATTTATACACTGTTGCCTATTGAACGTTGTTTGTTTAGATGTGTCACTTATTTTGTAAGGTCAAAGATTTTGTAACGCTATACTATGAAGTACTTATGAGTTTTCCGCTGTAAACTTATTGACTGAAAACTTTATATAAAAACTGAATTATGCCTATACAACTTGATGACAAGCCAACGTCTAATTTTGAAAGGTTGGAAAAATCGTCTATGAGGAATGGTGTACATTCTGTTGGTGAACATCCTGAAGGAATTTCCCCACTGGAAGCTGTAAATTTATATCGTGACAACCTCTCTCTGCATGAAAGGAAAGAAATTTTGCGATATGACAAAGTAAGTTCCTGGATTTTTTTATTCAAGGTGGTTTTTGGGTATTTGTTTGCATTCAATTTTGACCATGCATGTATACAAAGAAAAGTGAGTATGTATACATCATGTGCAAATATCCTGGTTCTGAGCGTTTTCTAATAGTTTGCTCAGTGTGAAGGTCTAGTACGAGAGTGTGCACGGTCCAGTAGAACAGATTCAAAGCTTTGCAATACGGAACACTTTTCTTCTGACTTAGTTTCACAAAATAATAAACTTTGTTACATTGTATTACCGGTGCTGTTGTATCGTTCTGTGTTAGACTGACGTCGTTAAGTAATAACGAAGACTTCAGAAGTTTTCAGCCAACGTCACAGAACACCTAAATTTACTAAAATAAGAGATTTTTAAAAAATTGTTATGGTGTAAATTAACTCCGATAAATTAACATTAGATAAAACTCGCATGTAGAATAGCCACATAGTTCTTTAAAAGTTGAGTTCACTTTTAAAACACTCCCACGATTAAAATCAGAGCATTGTTTTTCGAAAAAATATAGGTGTATTTTATGGAAATGCTGTGAATGTTTATATATATATATATATATATATATATATATATATATATACATGGAGAGAGAGAAAGAGCCACAGTTTAATATAATTTACAGATGATTTTTCTCAGTACACGCAGAGTAAGGCTTTTTTTCTGCAAACCATGTTAAATCCGTGGGGTTTACTCATTACACTTTTTATCAAAACAAAGACAAACAGAAAATAAATAAATGTTCCCCTTAATTCTCTTTTAGCTTGCTTTTTTTTCAAAGTTAAAAATAATCTTAAAAAATGTTGGAAAGAATTTAAAGCCAACAATTTTTGATCAACATTACAGCTTAGTAATCAGGCATATTTTGTAGCCCAGCGCGTGAGACACTGCTTCGAGAGATACTAAAGCGTAGAAAAGTGTTTGAAATGAGAAAAGATGTTCTTGCTTTTATATTTATTAAATACCAAATCAAATTTGAAATTCTTAGCATTATTTTTTTAATGATGCTGTTAGTATTAAGTCAGTTATTAAATAAAAAACCAATCGAATGGTCAGATGTGTAGAGTATCGTTTTCAGCATATCTTATCCCTTCAGCAAGATTCACCAGAAAATGAGCGCAAAGGGGTGCTATGGCCAGCTTTTATTTTCAATAAAATATGCTTGGGTTTGAATATCATGTTAGATATTTACCATGTGACCGCCTTATGTGAAATTTGTATTTAACAAAGTGTTACGACTCCTGGTAAACACTTCTGTTATTTAGTGGTAGTTCATTATTCTTTTGGTTGTACCTTTTTGTTCTATTTGGCGAAGTTTGATAATTAAACCTGGGATATATCTAGTATGTCTTGAACCGATAAAGCATAAACGTATGTATCTCTGCAGCCTGTGAACAGATTGTCAAAGTTTTAACCTGTAATTCCATTTTAGTTTGTTTGTTAGATGTGTCTCGCAGTAAAACAGTATTATTTACTGCACAACATTTTGAAGACAATTTATTGTTCGTCATCATATCAGGACAATAAATTATTTCCGAAACGTTATGTAGTAAATAATATTGTCTCACTGGGTGACACGAGTGTTAAAATACTAAGATGAAATTGCAAACTACCATAGTGCCCAAGTCTTACTCTCACGTAGATTATAAACCGTATGCACCAGCAAAAGTATCCATCTTTATATGAACTATTCACGAGATACAATAGGTAACAAACGTGCATCTATTTTTCGCGAAAGATGGTGCTTCCTAGTTCATTAGAAGTTTTGGTTCTAACGATTCGATCGGGAAATTTCTCAGTGTTTTAGCGTGCGAAACGTATGACAACATTGTTCAGAAACCTAACATCTAATCGGACTTGTTAGCGAGAATTGTTTTAAATATATTCTGTCATACATCAGAGGAAGGATAGAAGATATAATTATTGTTCATGCATATTTATTGTATTTGATACCTGTGTAGTGCTCTTCTTTTGCAATTTAAATTGATTTGTAACCTTTGACAATCTGAAGGCTGAGCTCTTTTGCAGGTTTCTTCATAATTATTACCATCATCATTTAAACTATATGACTTAATCTAACTATCTGCTTATACGATTTGAGCATTAGGATTACATGCGGATTCTTGGAGTGAGGTATGAAACCAAGAACATTTTCATTCGTTGCAACGAAACACGAATACCACGTCTAGAGATGGTGCAAAGAAGCTTAGCTAAAGCTTTGTTTACTGGCAGTCAAATGATTGTTACAACTTTCTACACAAAGATAAATAGCAAAATGTTGTCTACTTCATGTGAATTAGCAAACAATCACCCCTTCATTTTAAAGCGCAGTAAAGTTGGGATGATGTGGCAATGTCCATACAGAATGAATGTAATACTCTGATTTGTCTCTGGGTGATTTGCACAGGAGACTGAATAGCATCACCTGCAGAATCGAGAAGACTTAGACAGTACTGGGTCGGTGTTTCATGTTGTTTGAAACGAGTTATTTGTGAGCATCTAGCCGTGAATGGTAGGGGGGGGAGGTAATACCGACCAGAAATACTTGATGCTCCCCTCACTGCGCTGCAAAATTGATTAAAATTGAAAAACACAGGCCACCGAATTTCACCAACATTTTTACATTACACATACATCACCCTGAACCCCAGACTAATAATGGATAGTGAAAATATGTTCGAACGCATCCTGACCAAAACAATAATGACAATTACACCCACAGTATTATCATGTTTAGACAATGTGATATGATTCTTCACCATTTAATATTTAAACGGTCTGTGGCTTGTACAGGTTTTATTTTCTGAAGAAGTGATTTCTAAGAAGTCGCCAAAAGTCAAAAATTTACTTTTCTACTTCTTTAAGATTTTACAAATATATCTTATTTATATTCACTGAATGTCTCTATACAGTGGACTATGTACTTATCATGTGACAGAATTTGTTGTCATTCAATATTCACTGTTGTCAAGCTAGTGAAACACAAATATTTTGTATTGTCAGGTCGATACATAAATCATAGACGATAAGATAATGAGAACATTTGTTGAACAAGATATTGGAATGTTAGGTGATTGAACAGTTTTACCTATTAAAATCTTAAAAAGTGTTTGAATTAGTGACGATAACTTAGACTGGGTTAGTTCGTATTTTGATGGTGTTCGATAATGGGATGTATTATCTTTAAAAAGTTTGTCTTGTATCTCAGTGAACAGTAATGTTCGTATAGAAACATGAAGACAGGGTATTCTGCAAGAGATAGTCAACGTGTCATCAATATGAAATGGTTGAGGTGGTTCATTCATCAACATAAAAGTTTTCTACTAAGAGATGCGTTTTACACTACTTTATATTACTGGTGGAAGTGATGGTCCGCTAAACATTGGTTTCGTGCCTGCTTATTCATCTGATAGAGTATTGTGGCCTATGCATCTTTGAACAGACTAAATGGAAATTTAGTGTTCAAAATGAACTGATAAAATAACCTGCCAGACAAGTAGATTTGACACTAAGAACTTCCGTGATACTCTTATTTCTTCCTTTTTAGACAATTCCACACCTTGCTTTTGTCTAACAAACAACTCCTGTTTTTGAATTGATAACTTTCACCTATTTCATTAGCTTACTGTTGTCTTATAGTTCATGTTCATATTTCTGGACAACAAGTGCTTCAGATATGACCAGATACCTTGATCTCACTTCGATAGAGTGAGTTGATCGAATCCTGTAAGGGATTTCGATAGAGTTTTCACAATTAGCTGAGTGGTCTGAGTTCACAAGATGTTTGGTTATTGAGCTGAAAACACATTCCTGTTCTCCTTTTGCTAGCTAGACTACGTAGTGGTTTTGATCCCGTTTTACAAGTGGGCGCATGTTACAATCGATGTGCTCAGCTCCATATGAGCAAGTTGACTGGCTAGCAAAGGGAGAACGGAAATGCATCTTCAGCTCAGTAACAGAACACCTTGTGAACTCAAGCTTCTGAGCTCTTTTCGGGAACTGTTTCAAAATCCTCTCCAGGGTTCAATCAAGTCAGTCAAAGGGAATGAGATAACACCATTTAGGTACAGCTGAAGCACTAGTCGTTCAGATGTACAAATCGGAGCTATATGTTCAAAAAAGATACGTTCAACCTTTTTTTGAATATCCTATACCAAGATAGCCAATATAAGCCTTTCAAGCATTCATATACGTTAATCCGTACTTTAATTTACCTGTTCATTGGTGTATAAGGTGAATCTTTTTATGTTACTACTGACTAACACTTGACCAGCCTTTCATAAATGAATATGCGACAATACCCAACTAATCAGCATCTTACCTACGTGTAAGTACTGATAACAAAAGACAAATTGGAAAACACATTGTATAGTAAAAAGTATTCAGACAAATAGTTCATTTATTAGTCAAAGATAGAAAGGGGAAGAATGTTAGCCTATCTGTTTATTAATGGCTAACCTACGGACTCTTAGGTAGTGGCTACCGACCAGTATGAAGAAAAGGTAAAACTGGCGAGTGTCGAAATGTGCAGATACCTATACACTGAAACAAAGTTGGAGAACTAAAATCACTCGACACCGTCGTAGAAGATTATTTAGCTATCATTTAGATATTTTAAATATTTATTTTAAGCCTTGTATTATTTTGGTGCCAAGAATGTGCACTACAAGTGAATTGAGCTGAGTCATTAAATCAATCACTTTTGTCTAATTCACAAACTTATGAACATGCTGACTTTTTGAATGAAAAAGAATCTACAACAATGAACTCTCCTTTTTTTAATATCTATTCTACAATACCAATTGATTTTACTATACTTAAATGTAAATGTAGATTTATTTGTTTGAATAATTGATCTGTAGAGTTTTGTTTTAATTGACACATTATGTAGTCTACATCTTTTCAAGTATAGTTTATGAATTCTATGATCTTTTATGCTTGAAATCAAGTGTAATTCACACAGTGGGTGTTCATACTAAGTA